TCCCCATTACCTAAACGGTTCTCCATTAGTGACACATTAAACTACATATATATAGTGGCTTGCATAAGTCAGTCAGTCAAGTATATCAATATAACAATGCCGAATTTTTGATTATTTGTAAAATTTCTTTGTTTTTTAATCTGAACTGTGAAAGTTAAAAAAAATATATATAATATAAAAAAAAAAAATATATATATATATATATATATAAATATAGTATCACTATAATATAGCATACTTCATACGGTAGTCAGTATAGCTTGCAACGCTGCCTTTAAAAACTCGAGCATCTTAAAAAAAAATTGTATATAAATACATAAAATACCTGTCAACTACCAGGATAAATTGAATTTCTTTCTGTATGCACAAGATAAACTTTGATTTTCTGTCAGATTTCTTCACCTGTCGTAGTATGTCTAAGGCAGCTCTAAAATAACAATGAAACTCAATGAAGCTCAAATTTGAGCTCAAATTGGATAAAGGAAACTGCTGATGATGCGAAAGTAACGCAATAACGCTGCAATCGAATCTGTAGTTTTAAGTGATTTCGTTTGACCTGCATCCGCTCAACATGAGCAATAATCCTAGATAAGCCACTTAGCAGCCGATGAATTTTGCAGGAAAGCAGCTAAGTGATAGACTGAGGTAATATTTAATTTTCATCAGTAGCTATGTACTAGAGCAAGGCCCATTAATTAGCCAAACGCTACATTGCAGGTTACAGAGGCAACGGCCAGCCACTTCAATGAGATGTATTAAATGAAGCAGCTACTATAATCGCTCGATCTGTGCGCGATGAACTGAAAACTCTATCTACGGGGACTGATTTTGCTAATGATGAGTAATAAAATAATAATTCATTACAAAGTCTAGAGACAGATTCAAGTATAGCTATATGAGTAAGGGATGTTTATAGATAAACTACAGATAAATTTATTATTGCTGTTGGGCATTTTTGATCCCTTTCCTTTCACTTCGTTGGCAAAAATTTAATTTTTTATTATTATAAATATGAATAAATAAGACTACATAATTTATAAAAGGAATATAAAATTTCTAGATAAGCTCACCTATATATGTGTGCAGACAAACGAATACATACATATACATATACAGACTGTTAATCTATTTTTATATTTCTATTCCCAGCTTTGTTATGCTTAGATACTTCATAATTAATTTCAATTCATTTACGAATTGGGTTTATCTGATTAAATCAGGTCTTGTTTATTCACCGGAATAAATATAGTTTCTGATTTTCTCGAAAATGAGCAGAGCTCGGATTTATTCTGTTAGCTTGAACTTTAAGTTATGCCAATCACCTAATACGATTCGAAGGTTACTCTTTTAATTTAAGGTTTAATTTAATGCCAGTGTTTTGTGACAGCTTGATTAAATATGAATTTTCTTAATTCAGTTTCTTTAAATTTCATTTGCTCGACATATGTATATTTACTTTGATAAACTCAATTAAATACAACCAACTAGACTTCCCAAGGAACGCTTGAAACTTAGTTTATCTAAGTCATTTTGACTTGGACTACATATAAATTTTGCAAATAATTATATGCTAGCCGAAGCGCATATGCTCATAATTAACTCAATTAGCCCGGACGAATTCAATATCGATTTAATTACTCCAAAGGACGTCTCTGGCCAAGTCGTCGTTCGACTTATTGGCAACAATGCATGGCAATCAACGCAAGCTCGAAGAAAGCTCTACGGCTTGAGCAAGGATAGAATAACAAGGATAAATATTCTATTTAGTGGAACTGTCAGCGTGATTGCGTTTGTTTCTTATGCTCATTGCCGAGGTAAATAGCCATCAATGCTGTTGTGCAGTGTATTTCTAGAGTCGCTAAAAGGTTTTGGATATGCCGAGTACTGAACAACTGTCATCGGAAAGGAAATCCATAGCAAAAGCTAACATTATGAACTAAGGTCTGTATGCAGTTTAACAAAAGAGAGAAACAAAATGTGCTTATTGTGAGCTTTTATGCAGATTCTATAGTTGAAAATTTAATTTCATCAAACTATTTTTGGGTCAAAGGAGGAGTATCATACAGTCGAGCAAATGACAGCAGTTGTCATACAGGTTCTGTATTGACTGTTGAGCAGCACGAGAGCAGAACAAATTGCAAAAAATTTGCTAATTGAGCCAATGTTGAAATAACATGATGAGTACACTCAAAACGAACTGTGGCATTCGTTTCAATCAGTTGCGGGTGCAGTCAATTTGTCAGAGAGCCTGATTAAAATACCGTTTTAATTCATATGCCACTGGTAGGACACATGAAATTGTGTGCATAGTGAATATAAGAGCGAATTGTACATTGAAAATTTCTGCTTTCCATTTGCATAATTGCATTTGGCGGCATTTGCCAACACTGGAGCACTACTAATATTTTAAACTGAGCCCAGCCCAGTCAAAGCGCAAACCCTTACTCGGTTAGCTGTCATTGGAAAAAGTTCTGCACGGGACTAAGGAAGCGGAAGCGCTTCGTTATTGTCTGCTCTTGAGTGGCATGCAATTTGTGTTGCCTACTTTTCTGCCGCATTCAAGTACAAAACACCGGAGCTGGGCTCATGCGGGGAGTATCTGATTACAGGAAATGTCAAATATTTAATATACACATATTATATACTTTCTGTTCCACAACTATTTTACTCAACAAAAAGCTATATATATATAATATATATTAAACTATATATACATATATCATGTGTATATATGTTTATTTGCCTATATATGTATGCGCCAGCTATTTGCGGGTTAATTCTCAGTTTCAGAAAAACGGGTCTTTAATAATTAAATAAACAGTTTAAGCTGTTGGGCCATAAGCAAGAAGCCATTTAAAATCTTTTCAAAAATAATCATAAAAAGCTTTTTGATAATATATAAAAATATTGTTATTATAACCCATACCAGAACGTTTTTTCACAAAAATTTAAATGTCAGTTTTGTATACAGAAGTTTAAAAGTTTAAGTTGATCAGACATCATTTATAATGCTTGGCTAATACAAAAACACAACTCTGGCCTTAATATTATTGATTTTTGTGTCTAACAAAAAATATACAACTTTAAAGCCATTGATTTATATGATTGCGTCTTAAAACAGTTCATTTAATTTGCATTAAAAATTCTGCAAAACCGTCAGTTTGTGCTCGTCTCGTGTTTCCATTGGGCGAATCCGGCCTGTTGCCATCTCTAAGCCCAACACGAACAGCACGTAATTATGGTAATTGTTGTTTATAACAACTTTAATAATTGAAAAAAAAAAGCCGAAACAAAACTGAGAGCTTTAAAATCGTGAATTTAAAGCATTTGCCTCTTGGTGTTTGCCATAATCTAAATTGCTGATCAAATTTAAGCGAATTCGGAGCTGATGATTACCATATCTAGCTTTGTGTGCCCCATTAACTTAATTTTGATTTTATTATAATTTCACTCTACATAATCCCTGGACCCGAAAATATATAATTGTTGTCATTATAGTAATATCAACAAGCATGCATGGCAGCGAAAGCCGAGGCTAAAGCAAAACTATACTAAGTATTTCCGTTGACCAAGCACATTT